TTTGGTGTGTATGGCCCTTTAAGACTGTCGGTGGGCATATTGGGGCTTATGGACTCTTTATGTGACTGGTGCTGGCCCTTTAAACACCCTTTTTGGGACATCAGGAAGATTGGGACACTGCCCCTTTAAGGCCGTGTCCCCAACGAACACTTGTTGAGGGACCACGGCCCTTTGAGCGGTATTTGTGTGTCCTGGGGCCTGTGGTGCAAAACCCTTTGTGCCTGGCTATTTCCCACTTGGTTCAGTAAATGGGAGGTATTTCAGCTGCAGAGAGACTAAAGTCCCATTCAGCGTGGACTTATGGCGTCTTTTCGGCACCGTTTTCAGCCCTTATTTCAGTTGCAGAGACTAAGTCCCATTCGTGGGACTTGAATCTTTCAACCTTTTTTTCAGCCTTATTTCAGCTTCAGGGCCCAAAGTCCCATTGGTGATGGGACTTGAGTAGTTTCAGCAGAATAGACCCGACCTCACAACCCAAATCTATGGAACTGTTTTGGGCAGGAAAATCTTGATTAGGTCATAAAAGGGACTCTCCAGCTAACTTTTTTAACCTGGATGATTTGGCTGATTTTTTGGTTATGTTTATGTTTTAAGTGTGCTGATTCAAATGAGTATGAAGATGGGATGTGTAGTTTTAAAGTTACCGCAGGGTATGGCTAAAAACTGTATTTTTACTGCCTGTGTTTAATTATGTTAATCTCTTCCCAAACGTCATTTCGTTCAAAGTGGAGTGAATGTTAAAAAAATATGTTTTGTTCGGAGTGTGAGAAATGCTTTTCAGCCGCTTCTAATCTTAAGCATCATTTGAGGAGCCATACAAGAGAGAAACCTTATTTGTGGTGTGTTTAGTATTGTTCTGATCAGTTTAATACCTTCCGCGTCTCCTATCAGTGGACGTGTATATGGCAGCCATTTTAGGAACCGTACACCTGGGACCCGAGCAAGGTCACCTCGTTCAACAGGCTTGCAGCATATCCTCCAGGAAGAAAAGCCTGAACCCTTACCGGCTGCACGTGTCTTACCTGTACATGGAAAGCTGCTGTGGTTCCTTGATGAGCCAGCTGCCCGTGAGTTAACATGTCCCGTGGAGAAGCACTCTGTCCTGTAAAGCCTCACCAAAAAAGGAGTGGTGTGTTTAGTATTGTTCTGATCAGTTTAATACCTTC